CAGTGCAGAGGCTCTGGGTTCAATCCCCAGTATCTCAAAAAAAAAAAAAAAAAGCAAGAAAGAAAATCATGGTTCATGCAGTTATAATGGCCTAAAATTACACCTGCATTAATGGCTGGACATGGATGGAGGATGCAAATATGTTTTCTAATGAGGGCTCATTTGATGTGTGAAAATGTCAAACATTGTTGCCCTCTTGATCTTTCTGAGCCAGTAAACTTTGAACAGTAATGAGAATGTTCTATATCCATGTTGTCTTAATACTCAAGGTATGGAGCACTTTTGATGTGGCAGGTGTAAGGAGGCTGAATTTTTTATTTTATCTCATTTCAATTAAGTTTAAACTTACATGATGAAGTGTAGTTAGTGTCTTGTGTGGGATCTCTCAAATGAAAGCCATCTTTCGCATTACTCACCCTTCTTTTCACAGTGGTTATAGGGTAATCCAGGCTCATATCTTAATCTTCCTAACCTGCATTAAATAGTCTTGCCTTTAATTTTCAGTACACATGGCTTTTTTAGTGGGGGTGCACATGATTTTTGCTTATCATATGATGAAGATATTTCTGTTTCTGGTCTTCCTCTTTATCTCTACTTTTAAATTTCTTGGTTTCTTAATATGTCTTTTACTTCTGATTCTTTAAATCTCGTGTACAGTGTCAAAATGATACTGTCCTTCAGTATGTGTTCTGAACTGTTTTTCCCCCTTTATTGGTATCTGTATGTTTCTCTCCTCTGTCACATATACCTGCCCTGGAAAAACAAAGTGATGGAAGCCAGGCACAGTGGCACACACCTGTAATCCATCACTGGGAGGCTGAGGTAGGAAGATTGCAAGTTCACGCCCAGCCTGAGAAATTTAGAGGCCTAGTGAGGAAACTGTACTCAGACTGAAAAAAAAAAAAAAGCGGAAGTGATTGGTTTTTGTTTTTTCCTGCAAAGCATATTATGCAACTGAGTTTTACTTAAATCTTATAAGGGGGCTGCTGTGTTATCGGAGAGTCAGAAGTTAATATAATCCTTGTAATAGTGTTTGCTGCTGCAAACCAGGGGTATCTGTGCATCAATCCTAAGGATTTAAGCTTCCTTTGAAGATTGCCTTTTTAATTTTATTTTTGGGAAAGTTGGGTCCAGGTCTTTTTCATTCCTTGAGTATTCTGTATTGAATTATATTTTCATTTTATGGTTTCTTCTCTAACTAAAAAAGACTTTGACTTCTGAGATTTTTGGTTAGCTCTTGTGTAAGTTAGGTTCCTTTGTTTCCTAAATAAATAATGAACACCAGCTTCATGCTGACCATCTTTCTGGGTACTGTAGCAGTGAGCATGGCTGGCTAAATTGTGGTTATTATCAGATTTACTGTCTCCATTTTGGGAAATGGGCAGAAAGCAAGTAACTAAAATATTAAACAGCAATATTCTTTGAAGAAGAAAAAGCATGTAGATAATTTGGTGAAGAATTCAGTAGGGTTGATAGTGGTGTGACACTTTACATTTAGCAATGAGGGAAGAGATGGTGACATTTGGCATCCAAACAGCAAAACAAGATCTTATTGCTCCCTCTGACAGGGTAATCCGAGGAACTTGTTTTTCAAATCTTTGAGAAGTCTGTCTCCTACTGAACCTTTAAAGTTTTGCTTCATGGAAAGCACATCTCTTGGGTGAATTCTTGTTCATAGGGTTTGGAATGTTTTTCCCCTCTTTGTCCTTCTCTCGTAGCGTACTAATTTAAAAGAAACAAATGCTCTGTATCCCCTTGATTCAATCTCCTCCCAAATACCTGCCATTTTCAAACCAAATACATACTTGTCAACTTAATTGGTCTTTTAGAAGTAAACTCTAACAGGCCCCCACCTTGGAATTGTACAAGGCTGGTTTCATTTACTTATCTCTTGGTTGTTTTGTATGCACTATTGAATTGAGATTTTATGTCCATCACTTTTATAGGTAGGTCTTTTATTATCAGGAGGCAACTTAATGCCTTCACTGTATTTCTGAAACTGTAAATTCCTCTGCTATAGGCTAGGATTACGGAAATAGAATTGGAAGTACTGTGTTATAGTGATCACAGATAGCAATGTCTGGTTTTTCTCTAAATTTGTTTCTACTCAGTATCAGAAATCTTCCCCAATTGTGACCAAGACTTTTCATTCTTCTAATATATAGATCACAGGCCAGGTAGCAACAGGAATTAAGGAGGCGTGACAAACACTTTCTGACATTAGGAGTGAATCCCTGTCTCACTACAAGTATTCTGGCTATGTATAACTTACTTTATTCCTTGTGAAAGTTCTCCTTAGAACAGAACATTGGGACTGCATCAGACCCTGTAGACTGAGCTTGCTCAACCCACAGAAGATTACCTCATATAATGATCTCAAAATGACGAAAAACATTTTCTAGAGTTCTCCAGTAATTTCTGATTTAAAAACCCTATAGAATTAGATTTATTAAAAAGAAATTCCAGTCAAAATGCATTATTATGCTTTACATTTGAAACATTCCTGATAGAATTAGACATCATTCCTACTATCATCACAGTTGCTTGACACATAAAATTCTGAAAATACCAGCCAATATCATTTTAAAAGTGAAAAATATGATATACTACCACTGAAATGATGACTTACTTCAAAATATGATTATATACTGAACATACAAACCACTAGCAATAAATTTCAGCATATTTTCTTTTGTTTAAACAATACCTTACAATCCATTTATAATAGCAATAAAATACTAGATAACTAAGAATTTATAATAGCAAGTAATGTGGGAAATAGCTTGCAATCGGCTGAATGTGTAAGATAGCTTGAAGTAATGCTAACCACTTATGTAAAATCTATGCAAAAACAAATGTAATTGATCTTGATCAATCCTAACATGAATATGATACAGTGGTTCTAAAGTTTTATCTGGTAAAATAAATATGACAACAGTAAGAAAAATTTCAAAGGGAAAAATATCGATGGAGTCATCCCAAATATTACTGAAGCACGTGAGAGCCCCAGTTGCTAAACTCGCTTAGTACTGACACTGACAAAGATCAGTTAAACTGACTGGAGGTTCTAGTAAAGGAACAAAAATATGAGAGGAAAATACATTTAGTATATGCTAAAAGTTTGGTTTACAAATCAGCAAGGGGAAAGGCAGATTAGTCTATAAGCTGGGGGATTATTAACTAATTAATTTAGATAAAGATAAAGCTAATCTCTGCTTCACTTTTATACAAGAATAAAATTAGGAATGGACCAAATACACAAATACTAAAAATGAAACTATTAAAAACAAAAACATTAGAGAATGTTTTAAATGATCTCAAAACTATCATTTATATAAATATAATAATGGGATTTTCCACAGCCCAAACAAAACATTGATATATTTGATTAGAACAAAATTGAAGTGCCAAAGTTTCATTAAAACAACTTAAAATACTTTAAAAAAAAAAAAAGCTGAGGTTATAGGAGACATTTGCTACATGTTTGATGAAGAACAAATTTTCTCAAAAATCCAAAGTTGTCTTACAAATGAATAAGAAACTTTCTGAAATAAAAGCACAAAAAGTATACACACAATTCATAATCGCATGGACAGGAAATGTGTAATGTTGTCCAGTTTTTCTTATTTATAAGGAAGTTCAGATTAAAACGATACTATTTTTTACTTGTCAGACTGACAGATTTTAAGTTTATTTCTCAATAATGGCAAGGTGTGAGAAAATCATACATCATTTATAAAAGTGTGAATTGATATTATTTTGAAAATAAACAGTATTTATCAAGTATGGGATATTTAAACCTTTTAATATAGTAGGTCCACTTAAAGATTTTATCATAGGAGTTACAGTAAACTTTCTTTACATATATTGTTGTGCAGTGCTGTGTATTTGGAGAAAATTTAAGAAGAGTAGATAAATGTGTCAGGTGGATACTGTGTTAAATTGTGGTACGCCTATACAGTAGAATACAATATGTTAAATAAAATTTTGTAGATATTTAAGTTCTGATGTAGAATGATGTGCAGGATATTATAGGCATAAGGGTAGCATTAAATATGAGCGTTTTAAACAGTATTTTTGATTTAGAAATGTAAAGTTTATATCTTCATAGGAAATGTGCTTGAAAGATACATAGACTATTAACAAAAGTTATCCTCCAAAATTAGCTTCTAATGTGCTACTGGCCATGTCTTTGCACTTTTGGCCTTTTTCAGGAAAAACTTTTTAAGAGTAGTATCATTTGGCTTGGGTCAAGAACAGAAAGCTGTTTATTTAATATAAAGGCTAAGGTCAGTTTTATTCTTAGATTTCTCTTCATCTCTGCTTCAATATTTAGTTTCTATAACAACTGAGATACAGTTTACAGCTGGGTCAAAAAAAGGGAAATCTGTGGGTGTAAAGAATACTATTTTTTAACCTAAGGAGAGAACATATCCAGTTATACGTTCACAGCTTTTACATGCTGCATTCTGCTTCTAGGAATTCTGTGTTTGATAGGTGTCACCACCTTTTTCCTGAAGAGGCCAGACTTCTCTTCCCACAGCCGCAGAAGAGATTGCGGCATATATCTTCTATTTCATCACAAATTGATTAGTTAACTGATTAACAATACAGTGCAGAGAAAGAGCTCTCCTATGGAGGAAGTGCAGTTACCAGTAGAATTATTTTTCTGCAAATATGATGTCTCTGGATTCCTTAATTTTTCCTTTAAAAAGTGGGGAGAGACTCTTACTCAACTGTGATTGGAAAATATCTAGAATGGTATTAGGTCTGTATTCTTAGTCTAATTGGATTTAGGGTGTATGTTCTAGACCCATTAAGTCATTTAAATGGGAGAAATGCTATCAGAAGTCTGTAGCTACTAAAAAGGTTACCATTAAAGACATGTTTTAAGCATTTAGTGTTACATCTTCAGAGATGCCTTTAGCACATCAAATGGAAAATATTTCTCATTTTTAAAGTTGAAACTAGAGGATGATTAGTGCTTTTTTATATTATAGGAACTACCTTCTGTTGAAGAACTCACTGTTATTTTGCCTGAAGATATTGAATTGAAGCCTCTTGGAATGGTTTCAAGTATTATTGAACAATTAGGTATGTAAATAATTTCATTAACAAAAATTATTTCCAAGCATACACTAATAATCAAGTCAAGGTCTTTATGACTATTAATAACACTTCATTTTGTAGTAATTAAGCTTGAAGGGATAAACTTACTTATATATTGTTTCTCTATAAAAGTGAAAAGTTTGTTTTTACTGACATCTTTAGAATTTTCTTTATCAGTTTTGTATTGCTGTTATAACATAACCACAGATTTAGTGACCTACAATAACACAATTTATTATCCTATAGTTCTTCAGGCTACAAGTCTGATATGGGTCTTTTAACTCTCAGTGAGCTAAAATCAAGGTCTCCAGCAGGACTGAGCTCCTTTCTGTGCGCTCTTAGCGAGAATCCGTCTCCTTGGTCCTGTTGTATTCTAGACGCTGCCCACATTTCTTGGCTCCTGGCTGCCTTCCTTCATCGTCAGAACCAGTAATGTAACATTTCTCATGGACCTTTCATTTATCATTACATCTCCTTCTGACAACACTCTGGAAGATCTTCTGCTTTTAAGGACTGCTTAGATTAAGCAGTTCCTTCTATAGAAGGTTTTTAACCTTAGCACATCTGCAGTGCCTCCTCTTGGAATGTAAAGTAACATACTCACATGTTCAGGGATTAGATTGTGAATATTGTTGGGGGAGCCAGTCTATCTACCATGTTTGATTTTCTCATAAACACGTAAATTAGGAAGTTCTGTGATTTAATAATGATATTAATGACATGATATGGAGACAATGGTTATTTTAGGTTCCTTCAGTCCTAAGACGTAAGGTAGAAATGTGGGAGACCTTAACATTAATGTGGGTACCATTAGCTCTCATAGCAAGATACACCTGAGAATAGAACTGACAAAGTCATAGGATTTTTGAGTTGGGTAAAGGAACAAAATTGTTCATGAGCCCTCTTAGTTTACAGACCCTAAGAACACAGAAGAATTCATTTACTCTACGATGAAGTATATGAGTCATTGGTTGAAATAGGACTTTATCTTTTTACTTTTCCCAATGGTGTCTATATCATTATTTTCAAAAAATACCATAATTTTGTAGTTTGTACATTTTAGTTAAAATGTAAAGTAAGATGTTTTGCAAAAATCTTGATTATTAAAATGTATCATTCCCAGGTCATCACATTTCTTAGTATTTTAGTTATTCATGGTATTTAATAATATGGATAGACAAACAGATAACTAATGTCTTGATTGTTTGAGTTGAGCACTTATTAGATTTGGTGTATACAGATAAATCGAAAGTCATAATGCTGATCTTGAAGGAAATAATTGTCAACTATATGACATACTTGGAATAATGCTTTTTAAAGATACTCTTATGACTAATACATTGTAATAAGCTAACAGAATTCTAACCTGGGAGTAATAAAAAAATCAATCAGCATATGCTACTATTATATACTATTGTGTTTTGAAAACCTAAAATATCTAAAATCATTTTAACCAAATTACAAAAAAAAAATACTAGTACATTAAGCAAAAATAATCTTTGACTTCAAATAAGAATCTAAAGCTGAAAAGTGAGGATTTGGCATTGTACTCTGGAGTTCTACCTGCCATCCTGTGCTTTTGTTTGTTTTGCTTTAATTTGGAAAATTCAAGGGGGTAATTAATTATTATCTCTCAAGGTAGAAGTTGAGAAGTATCTCAAAATGATCTTGTCCTAGTGCAGTGATGAACGTTTTAGAGCTTTCAGTCATGCAAACAGCCCTCTGTATCATGTGTGCCATAGGTTTGCCACCACTCTCCTAGTGTATACTTTCAGAGTATCAGTTTGAGAGCCTTTAACAGTTTTTATCAATATATAGTTCAGACTCTTGTGGAGTTTCCTATGTGCTAGAGCTGACCTCTTGAATCCTTTTTTTATCTTCCTATAAGATGAGGGAATTGGATTAGGTGATCTTTAATTTTCTATAATTTCTATAGTTTTCTATAATTATAATTTTATAATGGCTCTTAGGGAAAGAAATTAGGGAGGAGTGATGATTACAAATGAAGTTTTACTATGTATTGTCTTTGTTATCTTATCAGCTTTATTCCAGAAGCAGATCTAACTCTAAAAATGTTGGCCCATGATCAGTTACTTATATGTATGTTTAGAACTAGGAAGCATTAACCTTAGAAATTAATTGGAATACAAAAAAATTCTTTGAATTTTAATAATCTGAGCTAATACACATATTTCATTCCCTAGGTGGACATGGTTATCTGTATAATGTAACAGTATTATTGCTTGTTGCTAATTAAGAACTTTGTGTGTGTGTGTGTGTCTGTGTCTGTGTGTCTTTGCAGTAGTAGATTAGCACTTGTAGCACTTAAAAGAGTTTTAGACTATGTCAACCCAGACTATGTTAACCCCAGTGCTTTTTAAGAAGGGAAGTTAAATATAATGATAAGAGTTATTGTGGGGCCTCTCACTCCTACTTCATCTGTTCAAAGGAAAATGTTTTATTAAGCATTAATTTAACTTTTTCATTTATTCATAAATAATCAGTGCTTTGTAGGAAAGAACTATAGAATGAGAAATAAGACTAACTTGTAGAACAGGAATTTTGTGACTAAATGTGTTGATACTATTTATGGTAAAAATTGCTTGAGAAATATATATTGCTTGAATATCATGATATTTTAAAGGGAAAGGGTGATTTGAATTTTCTGTTAGATTTTATAGTTTAATATTTTTCTTGGAATTGTAGCTTTTTGTATTAAAAATATTTATAATGCATTTCCCTGTGCTATTTGATAATTTTATTTTTATTAAAGCGGAATAGTCACTGAGCTATCTTCACCAAATTTTATTTTAAATTATGTTAGGATTAACTGTAAATTCTCACTATTTCTACATTATATTCTGATTAAATCTTAAAATAACATTTGTTTTTTAAATTTTTCAGTAATAATTGAATCTGTGAGTAACCTACCTCCAGTTAATGAGGAGACTGTAATTTTCAGAAGTGATCGACAAGCAGCAGGAAAGGTTTGTTAAAAAACTCAGATCCTACAAATTATTCTCTGTCTTTGGTTGATGTTTCTGACTTTCCCTATTGATCCTAAGAAGAGTTTATTAATTTTATTAGATGAGCAGTCTAGAGCTCTCAACTTGTAACACATTCTTGATTCCCTGCAGTTCTTAACGGCTGTCTGTCAATTGGTTAAATGTTTCTTATTCATCTTTCATGTGTAAGTCACTATACACATATGTGAAATTCTTTGCTGATGTTTACCAGGCACTCTACTGAATAAGACATAGTTCTGATCTGCCAGGTATTTGGAGCCAAGTAAAGATTTTCTGTGAGTAATGCGATAGTTCTTAACCAGTTTTGGTTTTTGAGCCCCTGTAAGTAGGGGCTCTCAAACTTTTTAGACTTGACTTCCTCAGATGGAAGCTCAAAGTGGAATCATTCAAGTGGGAAAAGACTTTGGTGACAGGAGAGAAATGTCACTGTAAGCACAAGCTAAGGACTTAGGAATATGGAACCATTATAAGATGGGGTCCCTTTTAACATCTTCCTAGGAACAACCCTATATGTTTACCTTTAATGTAGAAAACCACACACTGTCCAGCAAGTAGGCAATCCTGAGCAGTCAGTAGAGGACATAAAGCCCTCTAAGGTCAGGAGATAAGTTGTTTGTTTTTTGTTTGTTTTTTGGGGGGTATCGGGGATTGAACTCAGGACCTTACACTTGTGAGGCAGGCAGTGGAACCACTGAGCTAAATCCCCAGCCTGCGTCAGGAAGATAAGTACTAACCAAGTGTTCATTTCTTGGCAGATAGGACAGTTTTATTAACCTCTGTATTCCCCACTATACATTGTATGGTCTGAGTTCCAGTGGATATAATTAATTTATATTAAATTAGGAAAAAGCAAATATGTTAAACTGTGTTACTGAGTCTTCACACCTAACTTTTCCTTTTCTCCACTTTTTCCTACTGTGGAACCCTAAAGCAATTCATGAGTGAGAAGTTTTGTTTTGTTTTCTTGTTTTAGAACAAAGCCTCACTATGTAGTCCAGGCTGGCCTTGAACTCATGGCAGTCCTCCTGCCTCAGCCTCATGAGTGCTGGGACTACAGGCGTGTACCACCATGCCCAGCCTTCTAATAACAGTTCAGAAAGGGATGAGGTTTTTATCAGTTCTGCTGCTTCACCATCACCATATGTTTTATAGGTTGATAGGTAAATTTAACATAGTAATGGGTCACCCCATTACAAAGCAGTTGGTAGCAAAATTTATTTCAGTTAAGAACTGATTTTTTTTGCAGTTTAAAAAAAAAATTCACAAAGGGAAAGAAGACTCATAGTATCTAAAGAATGGTGCTATGTTTTTTCTCCTTTCAAGTACTTAGGCTTAGTATCTTTATTATACATGTAGGTCTCAGAACTTTTGATTAGCAGGAAGAAGCTATAATGTGTACAAACTCATTACTTACTGCTGATGTCTTTGCAAGGGGTTAGAGGTACAGAAGGGGCTTAGCCTTGACAAAGGCCAAGAGAAAAGGAATAAGAAGTGAGTACAGGATTGTGCTGTACGTAGCTCCTCATGTCCATTGGTCTTCATTCTTAAGAAACCAATCCTTTGTTTTGGAAAAAGCAAAACATTTCTTTTCCTCCAGGAAGTAGTAACAGAGAGGAGGAGAGGGGAGAGGTGGCAAGGAAAACATATTTCTTCATTTTCTGAATGTGAAGTGAAGTTATAAAACCTGATTTTTTTCTTAATTTTTGCTTATTTTTCATGACTGTTGCCTTCTCCTAATAGTTGATTTAGACGATTTTAATTGCAAAATACCCAACACTTTGCTAATTAAAACTGATGTTTTTATATTCCTCAATGTACTGTATATGAGATTTTCAGACCCATAATTGTAACTAATAATAATCAGCTCTTCTGTCATTTGTGCTTGAGAGATACCAGGTAAATATGTAACACTTACACTTCTAGCTTTAGATATGTGGCAGAAGCCTAGAGGTGAATATTACATCCGTCACTTAAGCGAGCTTAGTAAATCCAAGTATTTCAAAAACATTTGGTTATAAATCTAAGCAATTTGAAATGATTCCCCAAATTCGGAAAGGGGAAGGTTTAGAGTATCTATGAAACCAACTGTTGATCAGATGATAGAATTGAAGCTCTTTTAGATCATGAACTAATCAAGGCACTAGTTTTACCTCCACAGTAGCCAACTGTTGCACGTCCTTTTTCCTCTGTCCTTCACTGCCAACAAAAATAATTAAACACAGTGATAACTTTATGTTCTTTATCTTATAAAAATTATTTGAAACTCTGTAAGGAAGAATTATTGACATTTTAAAACAGAAAACTTGCTAAGAAAAATCACACTGCTGAAACAAAATTGAGCTTACAACTGAGGTTCATTCCCCCTCCCGCTTCCTTCCTTCTTCACTGTTAGACAGGTTAGTCTCAGATTTATATTTCAACCTTTGCCCTTACCCCCAGTGATGATTAGTTTCCCCATGGTAAGTAGAGATGTCTATTTCCCTCTCAAATATTGAATAGGAATTTATTAAAGATTATATAACAGTCTTGGTTGATAGGATGTGATGATTTTCAGAAAGTTCCCCTATGATACTGATGCAGTGTTGTTTTATCCTCCCTCAGACTAACTTGTGATACACACGGTGCTACACACAGTGATTGAAATAATCACCTGCCTTGACCAATGCATTAGGGTACTCTCTACTTATTTGTATTGTCTTCATTTTTGTTAATAGAGGGTCAAAAAAGCATGAAAAGATTGATGAAAGGTAGTTGTAGATGGGTGTAAAGGTTACTTTCCTCATGTTTTTTCTCCTGTTGCTAATTCAGTGAAAAGCTAGCTTAACTGGAGAAACAGAAGAGCAGAATACTGGCATTCTCTGAAGGCTGTTGCAGGGTGGCTGAATTCAGATCTCAGCCCATCACACACACAGCCTTGCAATATTGCTCGTGGGGCTGGAGATTCCTTGATGTACTTGTGACTTAGAAAAACTGGGAGTAGCCTCTGCCCTCAGACTAACCCCTAAGGGTCTGCCATGGTGTGTGTGTGGAGAGGGGAGGAGAGTGTAGCTCGGCAGTCTGCTGAGATGTCCTAAGTTGGGCCTGTGTTGTGCACACACTCTGTTACTTTTCTGCTTGTCAGTTTTTCCAAACAGGTCCTACCTTATGTTAGTCCTGCATTATGGTAGTGGCATGGTTGAGCCTCTGTGTGGCAGGAATCTTTGTATGAGTATTTCCATAGGGCATATATACTACTTAAGTTATAAAGCTGCTTGCCTACCTCAAAGTAAAAGTCTCAGTTATCACTGTCTTAAACTCTGCTAAATTGGTAAATTTTCTCCTCAAGGTCTATTATTTCCTTTGTTTTTATCTCCCGTTAAGGTCTTGAAATTACAAAATCCCAAAAGTGGAGTGGAATCACTGAGCAGGGATGTGAGTTATTCAAATAGAACAGTATGAGAAGATGTGGGTGGCCTGAGTCTGCTGCATTTAAAGTTGTTCTTTATAGTTGAGCTTTCAAGCATTAGTCAAGCTAAGATCTATTCTTTGAAACTGATAGTTATTTAAAATACTGTTAAATCCTTCTTTTCTGTAATTCTGGATTAACTAAATTGCTTGTATGAACCCAGTAGATTTTCCTGAGACTATTTGAAGTAGGACCATGAATACATATGAGTCAGTATAGGTTCATTCCACATAGTAGTTTTGTGGTGTGTCTTTCTATTACCTGCTATGGGTGGTTGTGGTTTACTCAAGACCTTGTAATGATTTTATTATAGCTGTGGCTCAGAAACATTTCAGATCCCAAGAATAGGCAACTGAAAAATTATGTTTTGCCATTTTGTCCAAGAAATTTGAATGACACTTATATTTTAGTTCAAACCAGACTCCATAAACCTTAAGTTAGTAGAAATTTCTCTAGTGAAGTAGTTGTCACAGTTAAATGAAATTAGAGCTGTCCAGGAAACAGGTCCCTGGGAAATAGCCTTACGTAGCAGGTAGCAGGAAATGATTTTACCTTCTACTAACTGATTCATAGAAATCTTTTTAAAAGATAGGTTGTATCTCTAACTTAAGAATCAGGTTTGTCTGTATCAAGGGAGTTAAAATAGTATAAGCTGTAAGAGTGATACTGCAGGGCATCCCTTCCATCTTTTGCAGTTCTCCTTGGAAGTTTACTGTTTTTACCTACTCATTTTCAAAGCTGATGTCTTGTTATTTTCTTAGATTGTTTTACTTTTAAAATTGAAAATCTTTAAATTTTTGACACTATTGTTATTTCAGAATACCTTGACATTTTAATGGCCACTCCGTGTTTTTAGAGTAATCATAACCTTGATGGGTTGTCTGTTTTATGTCTTAATAAAAATGAATAAAAGCTTGAATACTGTAGGTTACAGAATAAGGAGAACACATTTTGATAATCCAAGTACAAAGGATGTGGTAAAATAGGCACTGTCGGTGCAGTGATATAAGTTGGTCAGAAGTATTTAGTAATCTACATCAAGAGCTCTAATAGTTGCCATACTTTAACCATCCCTTCCAAATCAACTTTTAGAAAGTTTAAAAAATTTTAGAGATTAACATGAAAAGATGTCCATCTTGCCATCATGTATTATGCAGAACAAATTGGAAGGTGTCTAAATTTCTTTAGCACTAGTGAATAAATTTAAAGGAGCTTTACGAAACCCTTTGAAATTATGCTCATGAAAAATATAGCATGAAAAAATTTAATGCAGCTGTATGTATTAATTTTTAAAGGGGGCAGGATACAAAACTTCAATATAATCTCAAAAGAATACCAATAGCTAAGACTGGAAAAGTACACACTGACATCTAGTCTCTTTATTAGACATATTTATTATCAGAAACATTTTTTAAAATTCGGATAGTAAGTTAGAGGTTGTAGCATCTTTGAGTTTTTAGAAATAAGAATCTTCAAGTTCAAATCTACTTTTTTAATACAGGAAAAGTTACGGTTTAATATTTCAGCAATGTTGAACACTCTTTAGAAACAACAGAATTGACCTAGTACCTGTTTTAAATCAGAACTTTACTGTTGTGTGTCCATAATAAGATTCCAAATGCAGACAGTATTTTATTTTCATAAGTTACCAGTTATAGTTTTCTGTACCTTACATCTTAAATGAACAATTTAAAACATAATTGAATCTAGAATCCACTAGCTAAAACTAAAGTGATTTAATTTAGCAAGAAACAGTTACAGTTCTTTTACATTCATAAAAATTTGGGATGAGGGCCGGGGATTTAGCTCAGTGGTGCCGCTACGTGTCTTACAAGCACAAGAGCCTGAGTTTGATCCCTGGTACCAAAAAAAAAAAATTAATCAAAATATGAAGACTTTGAGTATATTAAATTGACTTAAATAAGCCTGGGGTGGTGTCACATGCCAATATCCCAGCATTCTGGGAGACTGAGGCAGAGGATTGCAAGTTTGAATCCACCTTGGGCATTTTAGTGACTTAGCATGACCCTGTCTCAAAATAAAAAATAAGTACAGGCTGCGATGTACTTTAGTGCAAAGACCCTGTGTTTGATTCTCCGTATCACAAAAGGCAGTGGCGGGGTTTGTTTGTGTGTGTGTGTGTGTGTGTGTGTGTGATTCAAAAACGGATAATTTATCGCTCTAACATTGACAAAATTACCTTCCTTTTTATCTGGTATTTTTAAATATTGCTAACTTTTCAAATCATTATTTTACATGTTAAACGAAGTCTTTGTATTTCTTCTGTTTTACAGATATTTGAGATATTTGGACCTGTTGCACATCCATTTTATGTGTTGCGGTTTAATTCTTCAGACCACATTGAAAGTAAAAGTATTAAGATAAAGGAGACTATGTATTTTGCTCCATCAATGAAAGATTTTACCCAGTATGTTTTCACAGAAAAACTTAAACAGTAAGTACTTTATTGACATATGAGGTCTTCGCTTATCTGACATTTTATATTTTAAGGATAATTTTTATTGATGGTAGTTTCTTTTAGTTGAATGATCAGTCTCCCAGAGACTTCATTTGTCTTTCTGCTGACAAGTCTGAAAGCTATAACTTGTTATCAGATCTTACAAATAGAAAACATTTATATTATTTTTTCAAGTGACAGGATCAGCCACCATATACAGACAAAAAAATTTATAAATTTTTTGAGTTCTAGCTCATTGTTTTTTTCCATAAATACTTAGTTTTGTAGACAAGCTACTTCATTGTCAGTGAAAGATTCTTTTCTGTTTTTAAATAAAATTCTCTCCAGGTTACATTCATGAAATTAATTATTCTGTATAAGCTATGAGAAGTTGGTTGACATATCCACTAACTGAGTGCTGTATTTTGGCTGTGAACATGCTGACGCCTGACACGTGACTAGTAATATTTCTGGATATTTGTGCTCCACCTGGTATGTTGTTTTCAGGTGTTGGTTTTATTGCCAAGTATTAGCTGTAGAGCTACCTTTAGCAGTGGCACTTGTTATAATTATATAACTTTTTATTTAAACGTGGTACATAAATTCAAGTAGAAAGGATTTTTCTGTATGAATAAGTGGAGTGCATTGACATGTTGTAATGAACTACTTAAAGTGTAGTCTAATGAGGAATGGAAGAAAAGCATGCAAAAGATTGGTCTCATTACAACTTCCATTTTAAATTAAGTCTAAATTTCACTTATTATTTCAGGGATGAAAATTTGGATCTTGATAATATATTAAACTCATGTTTTAGAGTCCACATAATTTTTGAAAGGAACATTGTGCAAAAATTATTTAAGCTGATAGGAAAAATAAACATAAAAGTCATAAAGATTTTGCAGTGTTCTAGAATGATGCCTTAAATAACATTTCATTCTGCTCTGAATTTAAGATGTTGCTGTGGATATGCCCTATATTTATCTTTAACAAGATAGCTTAAAACAGGTAACTGAAAAGGTTTTCTGAAAATGTTTATTAGAACATTTTAGGTAACAGGAGCAGTCTTTTCTTGATTTGAACTCCACACGGGAAGAAGTAAAAATAAAGCAAAGAGTTGGGAAGTCAGGCTGTCCTTCTGAGGCACCACCTGACCATGTGTTTTGGGGTCTGTCGTGGGAACTTATCACTACTCCCTGTCTAATGATTGTTCAGATTTATGACCCGTCTTTTTTTTCATATAGTTCTGTACGTCCTGTTTATAGAGCCTGAGTGTCCTTTTTTTCATACAGTACACCTTGTTGATTCAGTGCTGTAATTTTTGCTGATCGTACAGTACAGTACTGTAGTTTTATGTTCTGTTACACATTCCAGTACTGCATGTTGTAAGAGTTATGCAAATAAAAGCAAACTTTGTTGATAACTGATAAAGGTAGATATTATTATTTAAAATATTTTACTGAGTTAAAGAAATTAATCATGTGGGACATAAAGACATTTACTGTGATACTTTTAGTAAGTTGTTCTTCTTTTGAAGTTACAAAATCGTTCGATGTTGTTTACCTCCCCAGGTTGGAGTTTCCTTTGACCACTTCTTTGTTCTGAAGATTGTCATGTACATAGAATATACAATTCCTCATTTAGCGACCAGTTCACTTTAACAACCCCACAACGGGAGAGTAACTCGGTAGTTAAACGAGGAATGTCTCTGTGCTGTATAATGCTTTGTCTTTGAGGTGGAGCAGTTCAGCTGTTTGAGCTCACCAGCCAGCAAAGCCTTGTTTAATCTCAGCTTCCCATACACTCTACATACTGTCTTGCTGAAAGTGCTTTATGGAATTTTACTTGATCTTTAATGGATTTTGACATCTTGTGGTAGTGCACCAGTTTGGAAATTGTCTAGTTATGTCTTTAAACTCCAGGATCTCATAGGTAGTTGATGTTGAACATTTACTTGTTGAACTCAGGTATCATGAAAGTAAAACTTAGAAGAACTTCAAAACCACTTCTGTCTGCATACTGCAGTCTTGGATTGTCATCTTCATTCCCTAATCCTAATAATTAGATGTGTCCAGACTTTGTTTTTATTATGAGCCTTCCACATCACTTAACATATAAGGTAAAGGACACATAAATGGTCTATTATCTTTTGCTAGAGATAAATGACATAAATGTCCTTTTTTTTTCGTTAGTTTCACATATATTGTAAAATTAAAGGTCTAGCTCCTGTCTTGTACTTGAGTATTTTTCATTCTGTTATAAGCACTTATGTGAGCCTTGTCAATAAACCCTTTTTTGACTTGTTTATAGGGATAGGGGATCAGACGCATCATGGAAGAATGATCAGGAACCGCCACCGGATGTAAGTATAAGTGTTTATACTCGTTATTTTACCAAGTAGGATATTTAATATTATAAAGTTTTTAATAATAATTATCTGCACATCACCTGCCTTGTTATTTTATGTTTAATCAACTTTGTTGATAACTGATGAAGGCAGATATTATTATTTAAAATATTTTACTGAGTTAAATATATTAATCATGTGGGACATAAAGACATTTACTGTGATACTTTTAGTAAGTTGCTCTTTTGAAGTTACAAAATCATTAGACGTTGTTTACCTCCCCATATTTTACAATATAATTACCTTCCTAAAAAGAGACCACTTGATTTTCTTTTTGTATCTATGTTAATAAGGTAATAGTTTTATCCTCAAAGGTCGATTGATAATGTAGTCTTTCTAGGAGTGTGAAGTTAATTTGAGAATAATATGTAAATGAGTGAATTATGTAGTAAAATTATTTGGCCAGCTGGAGATTTTTAAGCAGATTTTCTTGTGCTCAGTTCTGAAAAAAATTGTTTCAGTACAATATTAGGGTCTTTTGATATTTTCAGATACAACTGATTATTTTAAGTGTTCTCAGGCAATGCCAAAGATCATAGTCTTTGTTAATTTTTAACATGAATCAGGTTTATGCCCCCTGTAGAGATCTGTTTTATACAGGTCTGAGTCACTTAAGCAGTGAGTGATCCTGGTTTAGTATCTTTTATACAGTGAAATGTGTTTTCTACTTAATGTGATGTATACATGTGATTCCTGTTATTGCTCTTTATATTTATTTAACATTATTATGTTTAGAGTATTTTATTACTGAAATTATATGTTTTAAAAGTGTTTGGAGATTCACATAGATCTTAAAATATATCTCTTGTGAAATCCAGATACTCCTAATACAACCCTGTTGTATCATACCTAAGCATTAAAGTTATTAATTATGGTAATATTAATTGCTTATGAAACTGGATGATTAGGTTAGTTACAAAATTAAATCATGAATGCTTCATTGATGTTCATTTTTTTTTAGGTGGCAGAATGGATCATTAAATATGCTGGGTTTTAATTTTGCAATAATTGTTGCTGACATTTTATAGTCCAGAATTGCTACCTGACATTGATCATAGATTAGAATGTTAGGTTTAACCTAAAAACAAAAACCAAAAAATGATGTGCTATGAAGGTAGGAAGCTTGCATATAAAAGATAATAGTAGAGATTATGAGCTGTGAAAGAATGCATAAAATTTACTGGAGCCTAACTATTCTCAATTAAAATCCTTTAATTTCTTTTTCCTACTCCTGAGATGATGCACAGTGATTTAAGATGGTGTAATAATCTTTATTAACATTCATTTTTTTCTCTTTTGCTACATAAAAACTTTCAATTTGCCTTACAAATACCATATTCTTTCACGCACCTGCATCTGCACATATTGTTCCCATTCTCTGAAGATTTCCTTTCTCTTATTTCCATAGCTAATTTCTCATTAGGTATTTAGCTGGGTTATCTATACCAAGAAGTCTTCCTTTCCTTTTTTTTGCTCTTTATCAAGCCCCACGCTCCTGTAGCACTAAGCCATAGTACTTGTTCATTATATCATTGCTTGTCTGTTTCTCCATTTTACTGAACAATTCAAAGAAAATGCATTCTGTCTGATCTCAATATTTTCTAGTGTCCAGTAGATACCACATTTAACCTCAGTTAAAAAAAAATCTTAGCACATTAAGATTAGTAGTAAAAAATTAGGCACTTGAAAGCACTAAAATTAGTTGACATTTAAAAATTTGATTATAGATTCCAAGGTATGTTGACTGCTAGCTTATGCAGGATTTGATCTAGAATATATTTCAGTAAGGCCATACTGAAAATTCCATACACAGTCTTTTATATGTATTTATTCTTCGAAAATCTGTGCATTGCCTACACAGTAAGCCTTTTATATGAAACAGATCTCTTTTCCAGTGTTAATGAAAAAACAAAATACCTGAAATATAAGAAATCATGCCAGTCATATATAGCTCATGAATCTTGGTTTTCTGGTAGACTATATCAGAAATTCGTAGTTATAGTGGATTTTATATTTCTGATTTAATGCGGTGTCCTCATAAAACCTGGATCATATATCTGTTTATGAAAGCCCTTTTCCTAAGTCCAAACTAAATAGCATCCCCAGGATGTTTTTATACTATTACTTTTACTTTATTTATAGGCTTTACTGTATATCTGAAATTACATTGTAAGAGGAGTTAATACTGTATACCTGTAAAGAAGTAATCCTTTACAGAGTTTAGAACAAGGCTGGCATATAATGGGTATGTATATGTTCTTGAGTGAGTCATAGAACAGGGTATTTTTTTTATATTGAATGCAGCGGTGTATGGAATATGCTTAATCTCGACTACTTCCTTCGACAGCAGCTGCAGTTAATGGTGAATCTGGAGGTGAGACTTCTAATGAGGGAATACCCATGTCTGGAGATTGTTAAACATTGGCATTTTAAAGTTACTGATTTGAACCTTTTTGTGAATTAAGAGACAGAGAAAAACCAAACCTTGACTGCACAGCTTGAGTAATGGCTTGTGTTAATGAACATTCATTGGGCAGTCATAACAAAACAAAACAAAACACATTTTAACATTTATACAGTGTGATAAAAAATAGTAAGTTTTTTAATTAGAAAAATTTTATTGAAGTAAAAGACACATTGCCATTAAGTATTCCCCTTACTTTGAACACATTTCTCCCATCATTGCCACTTGCCGAAGCAGTTCTGGAAGTCCTCTTTTGTGAGTGTCTTCATTTGTGCTGTCATGGCTTGTTTATTTCCTGAATAGATTGAGAACGTTTACCTTTCCTGTACATTTTAACTTTGAGGGAGAGCCACACAAACTTGGTGCCACATTGGGTGAATAAGGTAGATGAGGACATGCCACAGAGTTTTGTATTTACCTGCCTTTCTGTTAGATGGCACTGTTCAGCGGCATTCACCATATATTTGATCGTACCTCAAAAAGAAAAGAGGCCTCGAAGAATGACTCAGAGTTTTCAAGAATAATGGGCTAAGTATGTTCAAAGCAAGGGGAAATAAGTTTTTAAAAATTTAAACGTGAACTGTTCAGTCGTAATTAATTCAGTTATTAGTAGGAAATAGTAAGTAGTGAAACAGGCAACTTGTTTTCAATGTCAGGTGGTAAATAATAGGTTTATTCTCACCCAGAGTATGTACTATTGAATTGCAAATCCATGTAATATAATTTGTATGTTTTTATCTGTAAGGCATTGGATTTCAGTGATGATGAAAAAGAAAAAGAAGCCAAACAGAGGAAAAAATCTCAGATTCAAGGTCGGAAAAAACTAAAATCCGAGTTTAATGAACCAGGTAAGTGAATGGAATATATAGTCATTCTTTATCTTCATTTCTGTCTAAGTAACTGTATCAGTAATGGAACTGAAGGAAACATCTGGGTTGCTTCTGTTTATCTCTTCACATCCAGTTAGGTGTTACACAGCATGGGATTTGGAACAGGAGAATCCAAACAAGCAGTGGTAGTTTTATGGAACTAAGGCTATAAAAATGTCTTACAGGAGTAATAAGCAAGCAAAGCCTTCTTCGAGGCATTTGTATCAGCACTTTTATCTTAAGAAAGCTATTTGCTTCTACGTTTGGAATTTAAGGATGTGTGCTGCTTAACACCCCAAATCATGGTATTTTTTTTAACCTACATTCCTTTTTATCAACTTTTCCTAATTTCTCCATTTTTTAAAAATTAAACTTTTTGGAAGATAATTGTAGATTCACATATAGTTGTTAAGAAATAATAGAGATGCTATATTCCCTTTACCCTATGTGCTCCAGTTGTAATATCTTGCAGAACTTGGAAGTACAGTATCACGATCAGGAATGCTGACATTGTCACACTTAAGATGCGTAACATTTCCATCATGAGAAAACTGCATTCTTCTTGGCTCTGGTCATTTTCTTCTGTACTCTCTCTTCACCTTGGGACAACCACCTGTCTCTTCTCCGTTTCCTTATTATACTTTGTCATTTCAAGAAAGAGAGGATGGAAGATAATTAATGTATGTTACATGTATGTACCAATCCCCCCGAAATGAAAGTAAATTTTGTGTATTGCATACATATACCAATAAAAGTTGTTAACTTAAAAAAAGAAAGTTACATAAATGGAGTCATACAATATGTTACAAGTGAGGATTTGCTTTCACACTGACCATACTTGTCTGGAGATCCATGCAGGTCATTACATGTATCAGTAGTTTGTTCCTTTTCATTAAATAATACCATTTCATGGTGAGAATGTACCACAGATTGTTAATCCCTAGGGACATCTGGGTTGTTTCCATTTTCTGCAGTTTAAGAATAAAGCTGCTATAAATATTAATGTACAGTTTTTTGTGTGAGAAAACAAATTGCCTTTTCTCTGATACAAATAGACAAGAGTGCAGTTGCCAGGTCATATGACAGTTGCATTGCGTCCTTCATTTTTTTCACTGTGGCCAATATCCTTTTACATTCTCATCAGCTATATCCAGATGACTCAGTTCCTTTTCATTCTCCCCAGCTTTAGGTGCTGTCATTAGTTTTTTTGTGTGTAGTGATATCTAATTGTGCCTTTAATTTGCATTTCCTATTGGCGGGCGATGTTGAATATCTCTTCTTGTGTGGTTCATCTGCTCTGTACGTGTATATCTGCTCTAGTGATGTTTGTTCATGTCTTTTGTGCATTTTCTAATTGTATTTCTGTTATTTTTATTTTATTATACATATATTGTAGATACTAGTCCTCTGTAGGACATATGGTTTATATATAACTTCTTATATCTGTAGTTTGTCTTTTCATCCTCTTAAGAAGGTCTCTTGCAGAAAACGTTTTAGGGAAGCCCAGTTTAACACCTTTCCTTGTATGAAATCTAGTAACTGCCTGCCTACCCAAACCCACAGATCTTAAAGATGTCCTGTTATCTTTTTTTACTGAAGTTTGTAATCTTTTGTTTTACATTTTACATCTATTACCCATTTTAAGTTAAATTTTGAATAGGATGAGAGGTTTTGATCAGTGAGCACTCTTTTCCATATAAATGTCTAATTGTTCCTGCACTCTTTGTGCAAAAGCTATGGTTCATATAATGAATTGCTCTAGAATCTTTGTCAGAAGTCAGTTTGCTGCATTTGTGTTGACCTATTTCTGTGTTCTGCAGTTTATTTCCTTGATATATGTGTCTATACAACAGTGTTGATTATTGTGGTTGTATAGCAAGTCTTGAAATAGAAATAGGGGAGAACAATATCTGGTACCGTATTCCTTGTTTTTTCAGCATTATTTTAGCTATTCTAGTTCATTTGCCTTTCCCATATAATTTTCAGAATTATCTTCTCTGTATCAGTAAAAAGTTTTGCTGGGCCTTTTATAGGAATTTCAGCAGGTCTCTGTAAGTGTGCAGTGGCATCTCCTTGTTTTAATTTACATTTCCCTGCTGACACAACATAGAACATCTTTTCATATGCTTGTTCACCGTCAGTGTGTCTTCTTTGGTGAGAGCCCGAATGCTTTGGCTTGTTTTCAATCAGGGTTTTTTTTGTTATTTTAGGGGGTCTTTGTATATTTTTGATAATAGATTTTATGTCTTTGAGAATACTTTTTCCCACACTGTGGCTTTTGTTTTCATTGTCTTGACAATATCTGTCACAGAGCAAAAACTTTTAATTTTAATGAAATTCAGTTTATTCCTTTTTAATAATGGTCTTTGATGTCCTGTCTTAAAAGTTACCATGAACACAAGGTCTTCTACCTTCCCCCCATATCATTTTGAGTTTTATAATTTTGCATCTTATCTTTAGGTTTATGATACATTTTGAGTTCTTAAAAAGGGGGTAAGATGAATCTAGATTCTTTTTTGTGTATGGGTGTCCAGTTATTCCAGCAACATTTGTTGAGAAACTGCCTTCTATAGGTCTAGTTCGGGGCTCTCTCTCTCCTGTCCCATTGATCTATATAGGTTTTTTCTTTCACGAATATTTCACTGTTATTACTATAGGTCTGTGGTAAAACTTAAAGTCAGGTAGTTATCAGTCCCCCAGCTTTGTTGTTCTTTGGTATTGTTCAACTGAGTTTTTAATTTTGATATTATACTGTTCAGTTCTAAAATTTCTATTTGTTTCTTTATCTTCTGTTTTTTATCTGAGACTTTGTAATTTTCATTTTTTAGAGTATCATAATTTCTTGTTAAAACATTTTTATGACTACGTTATCTTTCTTAGTTAACTAACAACTTTGTGTTGCCTTGGTTAATTTTCCTTTCTCATTGAATTTGAAAACTTACTATTTTTTATGATGAGTCACTTTTTATTGAAATCTGGATATATTGGGTATATATATTTATACTGGATATAAGACTAGAGCTTATGTAAATCTTGTTTTTCAAATACTGTGTTTTGACAGGGAGAGGAAGAGGGTAGCTGATGTTCAGTTATTCTCTTATTGATACTGAAGGGCAAGGGGTGCCTCATTACTGCTGGGATCAGGCACGAGTCTCTGGCCACTGTCCTCTGACCCCTGTGGAGGATGACCGCTTCTCCACGGGACAGTGACAAAAGGCTCAGTCTTCTCTGACACCACACGAGTGGCAAGGGGAGAAGCTGCGGAGCTGCTTGTTAAAGTAGAAGCTTAGGTTTCCATATGCTCCTCACTGTTGCCAAGAGGCCCTGTCACTGGCCCCTTGCTCACCCTGCCTGGACACCAGTGGAGGGAGTGCCAGGCTGTAGACGGTAGAAATCCAGGCTCTCAGCCTTTGAGAGGGCACCTAGCAAGGGTGCTGCTGCAGTTTTTTTCTGTGGTATTTGGCTGAAGTTACTTTCTACAATGTATTCTGTCTTGCTAGGCTTTTTCCTTATCTTTGGCTTTAAGTTTGCCTTTTCACTTTATTGTGACTGCCTTAAATTGGTAACTAAAAGACATTACTAAAATTTCTGACAGTTCCTTTTGATATAGTACACTTAATTTTAATTCTGATTTGATGTCTTTTTTTCCCCACTCAAAGGTGAAGATTTTGCTGAAGTACATCAGAATTGGAATGCTTATAGCCCTTCTTCAGAGCATGCAAAAGGTTATCACAGCAGAGAGTTCGCACGTGGATTTTCCAGAGCCAGATACCCTCGACCTGGCCGCAGCAGGCCTCCACCTCAGCAGTTTTATAACTCAGAACATATGGTATCTCAGGAGGCTGCTGGATTTCCACCGCAGAGACAAGAGAGTCCTCTGATGCCGCAGTACCCATTTCCTCCTCCGATGTTTGACATGCACAACTTTGCACTCCCACCACCACCGCCTCCACCACCGCCACTGCCCCCATCTGTCAGCATGGGGTGGGCTGCACCCAACATGGCCCCTCATCCAGTGCTTAACCTGCCCTACTCCCTGCCCCCGCCTCCTCCTCCTCCTCCACTGCCTCCCCCACCCTCTCCCGCAGATAGTAGTGCTTCTCATTTTGGACCTTACTATTAGGGGCATGCATCATTCCCAGACAAATGTGGACTTTTCATAGTATATATGTTAAGGTTCTTGTGTTTTTAAGGAAAAGAAAGTAATTATGGGGCTAGATTTTTACAAACACTGTAAAATACTAAGTGATTCAGTTGTAAGTTGATATATATTTGTAACTTTTGTGAAATTGTATTCATATGGAAATTTTAGCTCAAGTTCTTGGGAGTAAATCCAATTATGTAATACAGTTTTTAATTAAAACTTTGAATCATGCTTTCCTGTACTCCCACCCATGAAACAGTATATATAGGAATGGATATGGAGCACGTTCCATCATCATTAAAATACATTGAACACTGATTGCCTTTTCTGGTAAAATCTGCAAATGAGATGTTGAAGTCCTATTCAGAGTCCTTAAAATAAACTATTTTTATAATATACTTTCAGAATTTATTTTGATTATAAGTGCAATTTACTAGTAATTAAACCTCTTTTTTAAGCAAGTAAAAAGTATAGAGGAGAAAAAACATATATTGTTAGAATCGCCAACTCAAGTTAATGTTAGTTATGCATTTGTAAATTCTGTATCTAAGCAGATGTCCATTAGGCAGTATTCAGAGCTTTACTCTTTCACCTCTTCATACTGAGATGTATTTAAGGCTCACTGGCTTCTGCTTCTGTTTTACATCTTTTTACATGCTTGGCACAGACAAGATGCTTAATAAATATTTATTGAATGAATGAATGAATTTAGAGCTTTTCCTTAAACAGTGACTCATTTTATGTCATCGAGTGTAAATATAAAGGAAATGGTGGAAGTTTAGAACTAGAAGAGGCCTTCAAAGTCATCTAAACTATTTGTCATTTAATAAATGAAGAGCTTAGCTAAGGCTTCCTAAGAGGCCCGGTGATTTCATGAAGGTCATCAAGACGACAAGGAGTTGAACGTAGCTTCCTTGTTTCTTAGAGTAACATGTTCCATTAAACTGGTGCTTCCCAATTTTTCATTTCTTCACATACTTAGAAAATAATGTTTAACACATTGAAAGAACTTGGAGACTGTTTATCATAAGCTGGTGCACTATGAATATATTGCTCTCCCACTTTGGCCCCTGTGGACTGAGAGGCCTGCAGGATCCTTGTACACAAGTTGAGAAGCTCTGCCTCAGAAAGCCTTGACTACCATGTGTGCATGTTCTTCATCTTTCTTGGAATGTTTTTGCTGCTTCTCTTTAGGAGTCATCTTCATAGTTTATGGTAAACAATAGTATTTTTTTTTGATAGAATTAAATGAAATTATGTCTTAAAAACACTAGAAAACTCCCAAAACCCTTTTTAGTTTCTGTAACTTAAGTGTTGGCCATCTAGTAGTGGATATGTAATGTCTAAAGAAATAGAGAAGTGAATTATACCATTCAATACCTGCTTTCAGTTAAGTTGGTAGTTTTATCACTTAGACCAAATTTTCCTTCCTTGGTACTTAGTTCAGGGCTTTGGAAACTTAGAGGTTCCTAGAAATCCCTTGGATACTTTGCTAAAAATGAACTTTCTTAGGACTTTATTCTCAGATTTGAAGTTAATAGCTAACCCAGGTAACTGCAGGAGTTACTCTTAGTGTGCAAATATTTTAGAGCAAACATACTACCATAGCTACAAAATTTGTATCTTTAGCATCTCACTTGATGTATTTTGTCTTGGCGGTGTACTTTATTAATTGCATTGTCCTTTGGAGTTTGAGGAACCCAATTGTGATTTTAATGTGCCCCATCCAAAATTCCTGTTCTTAAATGCCATTGGGGCAGTGTAAAGATTTGGGCTTTTGGGGATGTAATCATGTCATAGAGGCTCCTTCTTATCTGTGGATTAGTGTCTTAGAAAAGGAGGAAACGAGTTTCTAAGGTCTTCTTCTGCTTGTGGTTTCTCCCACTATGTGAAGACCTAGTGTTCCTCCCTTCCAAAGGGTGTAGCAACAAGGTATCATCTTGGAAATGGACAGCAGCTTTCTTCAGATACCAGACAAGCTAGCCATCTCCATGTTGGATTTCTGAACCTTGAGAACTGTGAGAAATTTCTAAACTATGTAGTTTATGGGTTTTGTTATAGCAGCACACACAGACTAAGACACCAACTGAAGAAAAATTGTGTAACATCCCCATTTTAATCTTGTAATGCTTTTAAAATCATCTCACATTCTTAAATAGATGATACAAAGGTAAATACTGAAAATTTTCTATGTGCAGTTTCTCACTTCGAATAGAGAATTTTTATATTGGCTTTTTTTCTTATTATAAGGTGACTTCACATGGCTACATATAAATAGTTGCCTTTTGATGTCTACTGTTGTAAATGTAGAATTAAAATTGCTTCCTATGCTAATATATTTATTTTTTTAAGATGAATATCTCCTTTTACAGAAAGATAGGTCCATAGTAATTAGCTACTTTCCTCGCTGAGACGTGATACCTGACAACCCAAAAATTAAAGGAGGAAAGATAATTTTGGCTTACAGTTTCAGAAGTTTCAGTCCATGGTTGGAAGGCTCAAATGCAGAAATGGGATCATGGAAGGGCCTTCCACAAAGGAAAGCTGCTCACATCATGTGGGTCTGGAAGCAGAAGGAAGGTGCCAGGGAGAGAGAGACTCTTTCCAGGTCACAACCCCAGTGACCTTCCTTTTCTGACCAAAGCCCCCTCTGAATAGCAGGTCAGCTACATCACCTGCATAATCCAATCACCTTTTGTAAACCACACCTCTGAACACGAGGCTTTTGGTTGACATTCCAGATCTAAACCATAACAGGTAAGTTGTCTACCAATTAGAAATGCATCCTGAAAGAACTGGGTGGACCCTGTCTAGTGCTGACGTGGAATAGAATGCACTTTTAAAACTCACCAGCGGATATGCCTTACTCAGTCCTGTGTCAGATACCATTGTAACAGATAACACAAACTAATTTTTAATGAACAGAAACTTAGTGGCTCAGGGTTCTGGAGACTGGGAAGTCCAGTGTCAAGGTGCTGGCATCTGTTGAGAGCCTTTGCTGCACCATTACATGGCAAAAGCAAGAGACAGCCCTTTTCTAATTACATCCATTCTACTTTTAAAGGTAGAGTCCTCATAGTCTAATCACCTTGGAGGTCCTGTGTCTTAATATTGCTGCAATGGGAATTAAGTCTCATGAGTTTTGGAGGCAACCTATTTTCAAAACATAGAAGGACGTTTTGTAAAAGTGATGTTTCATGTAATTAAGTCATATAGTTAAAGACCAAAATAATATCCTTGACTTTTATGTAATGAAATGATTAGCAGCAGACCCTAGATTATCAATACAAATGGGACATAGGGAAATGTAAATAATAAGCAGTGGGGCATATCTATGTGCAGAAATCTCCATTTGCTTTGGAACAGTGAGAAATATAGTGCGCTTGCTCATTCTTAACTTTTGCCACCCACGTTCTGATTTGTCACTTTCCACCCCTACTCCTTTATGCCCTACCTTTTTATTGGCTTGATTAAAGCTGGTGAACACCAAGTACGTTTTTTTAAATGCAGGTCATTTGGTGGGTAAGAAATGAGTAGCATCCAAGTTCCAGTTATTATAATTTTAAGCTATTTAATATGAAGAGATAGTATTTAAGATCTCCAGATATTAAAAAATCTTAGTATATGTTTTAAGAACAAGGTTTCATAAAATAACATACTGTTTTGAGAAGACAGAATCCAGGATGTAATATTTATGTACATCTTCCAACAATAACGGCTGGCATTTGAGTTCAATTTTATGAACTTAACTTTATAAATTTTAATATAGTATGTTTAACTGGATTTAATGTTTTCTAGTTTTTTACACAGCTCTCTATTATTGAATTATTTCTGTTGTAGAAAAGGCAACCCCACCCCTGAATCATTCAAGTCAGGGAATACAAGCAAAAGAAGAGAGATAATTCCTTATTTGTTTACTTTTCATTTTTTCCCAATCTGTTTAGCTAAGGTCTTAGGGTAGCCTTAAAGAAAAAAAAATTTTTTTCTTAAGACACTATCTTCATATATTCAGAATATTTTCAAAAATACAGTCTACTTCTGTAATTGTTTGGGAAAGTATAGTATTTTGCTAAATACTAGATCCTTTACAAAAAGTTAAAGAGATTAACATGTAGAATGAATTAATTCATATGGCTTTACAGTATGTATTTAGAAAATATTTGTTCTGACATTGCATGCTTATCACTGATGATAAGCCAAGTCTAAATATGAAAAATAGATACTTCTAGTAGAATGACAACTGGTAAATATTTTTTAAATAGAGGATTGTATTCATGAGAATTCTTCATAAGGTAATGTTGCAGTTACACTATTCATAATTTAATGCTTTCAGAGTCAAAGAGAAAAAAAGCTTATACATTTCTGCCCTTTTTTGCAGTTTTGCTAATATCCCAAAAGTCTAATCTTTGTTATTCTGTGATAACTGATCCTAAGTGTATGTGATATAAATTAGGATATGAATGATACCTCCTATGAGTATGGATTATATGGAATTATATTCTAGAAAACCAAAGAAACATTTATTACACTGTGACTGAACCTGAAATTAAGAAATACCTTCTTAATACTATCGCAGTATTTTTTTAAGCTACTATCAGTAATGATATTACATCTTTTGACTGCTCTAAATGCCTAAATTTTTTTTATTAGTGAATTAGACATGTACAGTTACTTAGTGTCCTGGAAACAAGGTACAAATGGTAAAACATCTAAAGAGAAAATAAACCATGAAGGAAAATATTAAATATCCTCTTCTGCACATTCAATAGAAATTATATACTTAATATGTATAATTAATATGCAGCTATATATATTTAAAGGCTAGTACAGAAAGCCTAATTGTTATGCAGAGTTCAGTTGCTCAGTGCCTTTTATTCCTACGTATACTTAGGGTTGAGTAAATGGGAATAAACTTTATATTTCAGTACTTCGTTGTAGTCACATTATCCCTCAAATAGAACAAATTGACCTTATTCATATGACAAAAGCTTTTCATTTATATTGGGGAGAGATGGGCCAGATATTGTACTTAACAAGAGATATGACCCAAATAGAACAAATACAAAGGAATAAAATCTATTAGCCTAGAGTATTAAAATGTGACAGGTGATTGTGCTCTGTAGTGTTTCCAGGGTAGAGATGAATTAATGTTCTCAGTACCAATAGCCAGTACAGTGTGCAAAACCTGTTATTGCACCTCTTTAAGCCTTTTATTGTGTGCTCCCATGACATCTAGGAGTGCTGAAACACATTTGTTCTCTGCCCTTCCCACAACCCTTGCAAATATCTGTTTGATTATGTATCATGCAGTGTTTTACCTCAGACATGATTTGGCACTGTCAGACTCAATTATGGCTGGTGTCTTAGCATCTGATGTATTCAAAGCAAATGATTAATTTTCCTTAACACTCGTTTTTGACTAAGTATAATTGTTGATGCATATATTGGTGACAATATGAGTTCAAAATGAATTCTGTTCAGCAAGATAATGGATAGAAAAAG